GAACATAAGAGCTAGAGCTATCTTACTCGTATTATACCAGTTGTAGAAAGAATGAAATAAAACCAGTTTTAGTAAGAAGAAGAAAATTGGGATTTTAAGTGAATTTAAATTTCGGGAACTTGTGGAGTTATTAAATATGTATGGATTCCAAAGTTCTCTGTCCATGCCTGAAAAGCTACCTAAAGTTATTCACATCTAGTATAAGCTAGCAGAGGGGAAAAAATATTTAACCAGTGTTATTAAAAGCCATCCCTTTGTTTCTTAAAGCGATGAAGCAATGCGAAAGTGAGGTGTTATCAATTCACACTGAAGCTGTGCGCTTTAGAGAAGTGTTCGCTTCAAAGAGTGGTATGGAAAGTGAATTTAAGGAGAATTGATTGCTTCTATGAATCTCAACTTTGTGGAGTTGGTTTATTCTCTTTTTATTTTTTTTATTTTTTTTTGGGTATACGGCTTGTATACGGGGTTAGTCCCCAATTGTTAATAAAATTATTTACCTTTTATCAAAAAAATAATATCTACCTTATTGTATATTAGATGTTAAAATTAGCTATTTTAATTGGAGTTAATTTTACTGTATGAACTCCTTATATATTTAATATTTTTAATGTCCTGTAAATTGCACACTGATTTCTCGCTTTCCGCTGCAAGCCCTACGGGACCTTCTCCTTTTTTTTTTTTTTTTTTTTTTTTTTTTTTTTTTTCTTTCTGGTAAATTAGTTCGTCTAAAGTTTATCTATTGATGAATATATATATTTGTGTTATTGGCGTAGGTGTAGAATCATGGGAAACGAGCAGTTAGCATATACTTTTTGGAGATTGTGTTTTCATTTATGTAACATNTATCCTTCTGATAGGAAGTGGATTAGGTGGAAGTATCTTGTCTGCTTCATATCAAAGTTTCTCGGAACTGCTTTGAGGAATAAATTGATAACAATTGGTTTCTTTAACCTGTTTCTTTATTATGCCTCTTTGAGTCTGCGTAATTTCTCTTTTTTTTATAAGGCGCTTTGAGTCTGTGTAAATGGAAGACATCCAAGCAATGGTAAGAAGCCCAGCCTATGTTCCTGTCTATTCTTTCTTTCCGTATTGGTGAAGGACTAGGTTCCTTCTTTCTTCGTTTTATTTGCTACATTTTTCATCTTGATAAACATTTTATCTGTGCACTCCTTGATGGATGAGGAGATTCCCTACAAATATGTGTAATCTGCATGTGAACAAAACTTGGTTCCAAAGGTGGGGGGAGTTCTGGGTCCAGGGTTCACCAAATTACCTTGATGTGATATCACCAACTTTACGAAGAATACCTTTTAACCTCAATGCCTATTGAATATGAGATTGTAATGGTTGTAAAGCTCTGAAGGCATACTTTCTTCTGGACTGTCCCAATTAATATTGGAGAATTTTTAATCCTTTGATTCTTCTCTTCTTTATTGCTTTCTTAAACATGCCACTGATGGACACCTTCGATGTGCATGAATTAGGATATTAGAACTTATTATATGAAAATTTTGATTTTGTAAGATGTGAAAGTCTTCCAATTCATGAATTAGTTAGTAGTTCTGAAGGATGTAATGCCGATTGATGACTTGAGAATGCAGTATCCTGCCTCTAAACCTGTGTGTATCTTAGCCAATTAGATGCTAAAAAGCTATACTCGAGACTTGTGCTAGTTACAAAAGTGGCTCTATGTAAAAAAAATCAGATAATGTTAGATCAGTTATTCGGGGGGACAGAGAGATCAACGAGGACGTTACTAACCGTATAGGGGCGGGCTGGATGAAATGGAGGCTAGCATCTGGAGTCTTGTGTGACAAGAAAGTGCCACCGATACTCAAAGGTAAGTTTTGTAGAGCCGTGATTAGACCGGCCATGTTGTATAGGGCAGAGTGTTGGCCGGTTAAGAACTCTCATAATCAAAAGATGAAGGTCGCAGAGATCAGGATATTGAGGTGGATGTGCGGGCACACTAGGATGGATAAGATTAGGAATGAAGTTATCTGGGAGAAGGTGAGCGTGGTCCCTGTGGATGACAAGATGTGGGAAGCGAGACTCAAATGGTTCGGGCACGTGCGGAGGAGAAGCCTTGATGCTCCGGTGAGGAGGTGTGAGCGGTTGGCTATGGTGGGTACGAGAAGAGGTAGAGGGTGGCTTAGGAAATATTGGAAAGAGGTTATCAGGCAGGACATGGCACGACTGCGGATTTCCGAGGACATGGCCCTTGATAGGAAGGTTTGGAGGTCAAGCATTAGGGTTGTAGGCTAGGGGGTAGTCGAGTTTTTCCTACTTAATACCGGGGGTGAGGCGGGGTTGGATAGGGTTGATCTTAGACGGCTTGTGGTTATTATTGAGCGCACACTATCCTTTCTGTTTTTCTTAGCCCCAGGCCTTAATTACTGGTTACTGTTATTGCATGCATCTATTCTTTGGTTTTTATGCTCTGCTACTATTTCTACGGTTTCTGCTGACGTTACTGATGGATTGTCTCTTGTTTTATTCCCGTCTTCCTGAGTCGAGGGTCTATCGGAAACAACCTCTCTGCCCCATTGGGGTAGGGGTAAGGTTTGCGTACACATTACCCTCCCCAGACCCCACTTTGTGGGATTTTACTGGGTCGTCGTTGTTGTTGTTGTTGTATAATGTTAGATCAAGGGCATGATAGAACTATTTTTTTTTAACTTTACCTTATTCAAAAAGAAAAAGATAGAACAACTTTTATAGAGTACCCTTCTTGTGCCCATAAAAATTAACCTTCTTTCCCTTTTGGTCCTTCCGTAGAACTTTCACCTCATAAAATGAAAAACTTTTCTCCTTCCAGCAATTCTGACTAGTATAAACTTATATTCTTTTATAACACAATGACAACGATAACAATTATGCCTCAAACCCAAATTAGTTGGATCAGCTTTGGACCAGTAGCAATATAACTGTGCGTATGAACACATTGACAGACATTCAATATTGTGAGCTAGGACAGACTTCCTTTGGCTGACATAGTTTATATTTTGTTTTCTGCATTCAATAGATTGCAAATCAGCTCAACCGTGTGGCTGGGAACATTGGAAGAAAGCCATTGAAAGTTTTTATCCAAGTTAATACAAGCGGGGAAGAAAGTGGGTAACTGGAGTATGTCTCTGATTTATTAAAGTCATTTAGTTCCTCCAATTTTGTGAAGGTTCTGCTCATATTCAAGAAGGAAAAAGTAACTGTGATTGGGTTCTGTTGCAGCTAAATCTGGTGTTGAACCAGAGGGGTGTTTGGAACTCGTAAAACATGTTACTTCAAACTGCCCTAATCTTGAATTTTGTGGCTTGATGACTATTGGGATGCCAGATTATACGTCAACTCCTGATAACTTTAAGGTTGTGGTTTTATAGTTGTTTCTTCTTGTCCTGGTTGCTATTATTCCATCTCAACTCAAATATCCTGATATTCATCATGCTTTGGTTTCAGACTTTAGCAAGATGTAGAAGTGAGGTTTGCAAGGCTGTTGAAATATCTGAAGATCAATGTGAGCTGTCAATGGGCATGTCGGGCGACTTTGAACTCGCTGTGAGTGACCTGACTTGTCACTAAGCCTATCAAACCATTAGTAGGCTTAGAAAGAACTTGAATTCCGCGATTCTTCTCCTTCTAGGGATCAATGTGGTAGTCTGATTGGACCATGTATACAATATTCTCTTTATAAACCAAGTATGATTAATTAGACATCTGACTCAGTTTTCGTTAATGGTCTCTGTTATTAGAAGGCTTTTGAGTCTGATTTGTAATTCCTAATATCTGGACCATCAACTCGCCCAGCTCCCGCGCACACCCATGCGATTAAGGCACTTTTGCAGACTAGCATAGTAGTTTCACCCCTTAACCGTTTGCTGCAGCTCAAGTTTTAGTCTGAATTTTTCTCTTGATATTTCTCTGTTCTTTATTGGTTTCCTCTGTATGCTTGTTAAAGTAGAATTTCATTTATTAATTAGCCAGCAGTGGTACTGAATTATACATATGCTCCATTCTGACCTCATGTTAAGATATGTTTGAGCACAACATACTGATATTGCTTAGTTTATTGCTACAGGTCGAGATGGGCAGTACAAATGTTCGAGTTGGATCTACAATATTTGGAGCAAGAGAGTATCCAAAGAAGCAAACAAACTAGGTCGATGAACCCATTTTAGTTAAAGAAACTGAGGCAAACTTGTACCTTAAATTATTGCTGCTTTATGGCGAAATCTGGAGCGTTTTGGCGTGCTCTGAGCAACGATGAACCTCATTTGCTATGTGGCCTATAGCATCTTCGTATTCCATTTATTATTACTGCTGGCATTGTCTTGTGCTGTGATCTAGATGTTCTTAATAATGTCATGGAATTTGATATATTCTCGTCAAACAGTACTGATTGATGGTATCTTTGTAGAATGCAGTCTCATGGCCTTGCCCTTGGATCTTGTTATGGGAAAAACAGCTAAACTACTTATGGCAGCTAACAGTCATAACTTGTGCGGACAAACGTTAGACTATATATCGTTCGGTCTTACGAAATCAATTTACATGTTACCGGACATTATCTACTAACATAATATTAAACGTTGATGTAAGGTAAAGATGCTTTCTCGCAATATTAATGAGTGGTAGTACAGCCGTTATACAATTTCTTGCATTATCAGTTGTAGGAATATCAGTTCTATATACGAGAATACTAATTCCAATTTCAGTAGGACGATTTTTATATGCACATCAATTTTTGGTGACAATGATTTTTATCGTAATTTTAAAGATGAAATGAAAGGAGCAGAAATGTTTTATCCAAGTGGAAGTCATCGGACAGTTATAAAAGCAAATTGAATGACGAAGGCCCAGAAAGAAGTGGAACGAGAATTGAAAAACCTTCAAAAAGAGTTGGGAAGTAGAAACATTTGTTGGAAGGTGAATGAAGAGGATTTTAGCTGCGCAGAGCTGTCCGTGACATTGAGCGTAGTCATCCAGGAAGAAAGTGACCATGAATAATGCACAAGCTCAAACTCAACATCCTCTTCCGCGCTTTAACACAGGCGCCATTTCGGCGCTCCTCCGCCGCTGCCACCGCCACCACCAAGTCCTTCAACGCCACCCTCCACCGCCTTTACTCGGAAGGTGCCCACCATCATGCTTTACTCACATACAACTCCATGCTCAAATCCTCTGTTCCTCCAGACCCTTTCACTTTTCCCACTCTCTTCAAAGCCTGCATTTCCCTCAACCTCCTCCCTCACGGCCTTTTGCTACACCAACACGTAGTCGTTAATGGGTTCTCGTCTGATCCTTATATTGGGTCTTCTTTGATCAGTTTTTATTCGTCTTTTGGGCTTACAGAGAGTGCACACAAAGCGTTTGATATAATGCCTGACAGGAACATTGTCCCCTGGACGGCTGTTATAGGGTGTTATGTACGGAGTGGTGATTTTGAGCATGCTTTTGTTATGTACAATTCTATGTTACATGATAGAATAAAGCCTACTTCTGTTACCATGTTGACAATGCTTTCTAGGGTATCAGAGAGCATTCATGTGGAGTGTTTGCATGCTTCTGTAATAAAATATGGATTCATGGGTAACACTGTTTTGTTGAATTGTATGTTGAATGTGTATGGCAAATGTGGAAGAATTGAGTATGCTAGGAAGTTATTTGAGTGGATGGATGAAAAAGATATTGTTTCCTGGAATTCTTTGGCTTCAGGGTATTCTTTAGTGGGGGACACAGAAGAATTATTGAGCCTAATGTATAGAATGAGGTTGGAAAATACATGGCCTGATTATCAAACATATGGGTCCTTGGTTTCTGCAATTGCAAAAGAGGGTTGTGCCGAATTGGGAAAAGTGGTGCATGGACAGATAGTTGCTGCTGGATTTGAATTAGATGTGCATCTTGAGACATCACTTATGTTTATGTATTTAAAATGTAGGAACATGGATTATACGTTTAAGATTTTTGATCGAGCAAATGATAAAGATGTAGTTTTGTGGACGACTATTATCTCAGGACTTGTTCAGAATGAACGTGCAGATAAAGCACTTCAAGTGTTTCAAAGCATGTTGTGTAGTAGAATTGAACCGTCTACAACTACTATAGCAAGTGCCCTTGCAGCTTGTGCTCAATTAGGTTCATTGAAAGTAGGAACTTCTATACATGGCTACATGTTGAGGCAAAGAATTTCCATAGAGACTCCTGCCCAAAATTCACTTGTCACCATGTATTCAAAGTGTGGCTATTTGAAACGAGCGCTTGCTGTTTTCGATATGATAAAAAGCAGAGATGTGGTTTCCTGGAATGCAATTGTTGCAGGGAATGTTCAGAATGGGCAATTAGCAATGGCCTTGCATCTGTTTAATGAAATGAGGATAGCCCACCAAAGACCTGACTCAATTACAGTGGTTTCTCTTCTTCAAATTTGTGCCTCGGTAGGAGCATATCAGCAAGGAAAGTGGATTCATAATCTTGTTGTAAGGGGCTATTTTGAACCTTGCGTCAAGATAGGCACGGCTTTGGTTGATATGTACTGCAAATGTGGTGACCTGGACAGTGCGAGGAAGTGTTTTGACAGGATCGTAGAACATGATCTCATTTCATGGAGCACAATTATTGCGGGATATGGCAGTCATGGCAAAGCGGAAACTGCCCTGGAGTTGTATTCGGAGCTTGTGCAAAGTGGTCTTACACCAAATAGTGTTATTTTCTTATCTGTTTTCTCTGCCTGTAGTCATAATGGACTTGTCGACCAAGGTATAAGCTTGTTTGATTCCATGGAAAGGGATTTTAAGATTGCACCTGAACTCGAACACTGTGCTTGCATAGTTGATCTACTTTGTCGAGCTGGTAGGGTGAAAGATGCATACAACTTCTATAAGACAAAATTTCCAGAACCAATGGCTGACGCACTTGGTATCATTCTTGATGCTTGCAAAACGAAAGCCCTTGTAAAACTTAGGGATATTGTTTGCAAAGAAATCTCAATGTTAGATCATGGGGATGCTGGAAGGTATGTGCAATTGGCTCATAGTTACGCTTCAATGGCCCAGTGGGAGGGCGTTGGTAAGGCATGGGTCCAAATGAGGGATCTTGGGCTCAAAAAACTTCCTGGTTGGAGTTTTATTAACTTACATGGAGTAATAACAACCTTTTTCATGGGCCAAACCTCTCATCCTCAGCAGGAGGAGATAATGTCGGTTCTCAAGAATCTGAGTGAGGAGATTAGTGAAAGGGTAATCAAGTCAAACATAGAGAATATCCCATAGGCGCTTATGTACGACATCTTCTCCGTGCTATTTTTCCCATTGGGATCACTGATGTCAAAGGCTTGGTGAAACCCAGGAGGAGATTTCTGAGAGTAAATGTCAAGTTGCTCAGGATACTATTGTGCTATTAGGAATTGAGCAAGGAATATCAGTTTAATCTGTGCGAGCCAGAATTCCAGAAAGTGTTTATAACTGCCAATTGCAAATCCATCATTCAGTTGTTCAGTCAACTATAGAGCGCAATATATGTCCATGAAGTTGAGAACTGAATCGAACATGTGACAGTGGATAGGTGTTAGAATATAGCACATTCTATGAAGGAATTCACTGTCATATTTTTATTTGATCTTGGTCAATCATTACCTCTTGAGCGAGTTGAATTAGCACAAAATCTTTTCTTTACAACAGGAAGTTCTTATTCACTCTGTACAAAGGACCCCTTAGGAAACTTCAAAGCATCAACTGTCATATCACCTTGAATTTATTTTATATTAAGAATTGGCAAAGTAGCCTCTCGGCCACTTAAACTTGTACTCATTTGTCAACCCGGTACAGAAACTTTGGGCTTTCCCGTTTAAACACCCCAACTCAACTATTTGCACGTCAATAGACACCTCCAATTAAGCGTGTTTCTCAGTCGCGACGACATAATTAATCAGTCTTTTATAGTTTGACATGTGTAATTGGTGGGTCCTACCTTTTTTTAATAAACCAATTTACCAAATGCTCTTCAAAATACCCTATCCTCAACGGGTTCTACCATCTCCACTGCAACCATATACCACATGCCGCTTCTCATCTTTGTTTTCAGAACTCCAATCCGGCATTCCAGCATCAATACCGCCGCTAGCACTGCCGCCATCTTTGCCATTAGAAACCTACAATCCCTTTTCTAAACATCAAAACTAAAATCCAGAAATGAAAAACATGAAGAAGAAAGAAAAAAATCTTAATAAAATTTTGAAACCCAAATGTCAAGATAAAAGAAAAATCACTTGTGCTTCAAGTTTTCTCATCTTCAAAGTATTTTCTAGTCCTCTGTAAAATCAGAAACAATGAGTCAATTTGACCGGGTCAATTCACCGGAAAATATTTTTGGCCGGAAAGAATTGTAATGCTCATATCTATACTCTGATTTTTGGCACATTTATTCTTTCTTGAAATTAGAAGGTGATTTAGAAGTAAGTTAATTAGTTATTTTCAACGTATTTTGTGAAGAATAATCTAAATCTTGACTTATTGAGGAGAAAAGAGGGGGGAGAGGAAGGGGGAAAGAACACAAAAGTTGGAAGGGAATTAATTAGGGAGAAGAAGATTAAAGAGAAACTGGGGGAGAAGGGGGATGGGAATTCTAGAAAAGAAGAACAGAAAGTGGGAATGGGAGGTGGGGGATGGGAAGAACAGCGAAGAGAGAAGGGGACATCGTGCATTACCATATCACACACGATATTGCCACATAAGCATAGTCAACGGTCAAATATGTTTATTAATGTACAAATAGTTGAGTTGGAGTGTTCAAAACTAGAAAACTCAAAGTTTATGTACCGGGTTGACAAATGGATACAAGTTTAAGTGGCTCGGAGGCCATTTTATATTAAAAATTGCAAGGGTCTGCATAAATTTGAGGTACTATCCCTGATTATTTTCCATAGAAAATTTCATTCGATGACATCAATATTATCTATTTTTAGTCGTGCAGATACCACAAGAATGAATAATTTTGGTAATAATTCTGTTTTCAAGATGCCGGGTAATATTAGTTTGTTATATGATATTTCTATATGTACGGCAATGGATGCAAAAACGTATTTGCAGGGTCTAATGAACTGAATTAGTGAATTTGATAACGTTTCCTTTTTTGCTTTTACTCCTTTTGATTCTTGGCATTGAGGTTATGTTCAAGATCTAATAAGCTTAAAGCTGATGCAACTCGTAGTTTCAATTTTAGTGAACTTGCACTAACCAATATCAGTGAATAATAGCTTGGGCAACTTAAATACAACGTTGAGATGTGCAAGTAACTTATAACTGAATTTGTTGTTTTGACATTGCGGAGTTCTTGCTAAAGCGTTGTAATCTTCTACATAAATCTTAGTTGCTTCTACCACCATTAGAGATGGGACCTATATAATATCTCATTTGCAGACAAACATAAAATCATGTTATATACACACACACAATCCTTTGCATTTACACGAGACCATATTCAGTGTGGGCGTTTGGGTGTATATATTACAAAATCTTTTTTGTTTTCACGTTTTTCTTCTTTTTACTTTCATTTCCCCCCTTTTTCTTAACCTTTGATGCAAATGTGTAATCCGATTAGATTCATAATTTTGCTAATCAGAAGCTATTAAACTATGGGATGTTTCATATTCCTACAACATGACACAGGCAATTTTTATTTAAAAAAGAAAATTCAGGTTAACATAAAAAGGTTTGTAGAACGTGTTGTTTACATAATTGTAAGTGTTTTTTTTCGCCTAATTATACGATGGTAATGTCATCTAAAATCTAGAAAAAAATAATACTTTTAATTTTCCTAATTTTAGAATTTACCACGTATAGAGTTTTCCAGTTTTAACATCTCCCAAAATCCATGCACCAAGTCTCGCAAAAACCAAGTCCTAAAGATTAGATATCAAAAAGAAAAGTTCAAGAGTAGCTCAGTCACAGTTATATTATAGATCCTTAAAAACCTCTTTAACATAGACATAACAGTTCAAGAAAGAGAAGAAAAGATCCAAACATAAAGAGAGAGAGGGAAATGAATCCACAACATAAACATGGAAGAAGCAGGTGGAATGGGAAGATGGTGATGTTTGGAGTGTTAATTATGGGATTATGCATTACTGGTTATGTAGCAGGTCCACCACTCTATTGGCATCTCTCTCAAACTATTTCTTCCTCTGCCCATTATTCTTGCCCCTCTTGTCCTTGTGATTGCGCTACTCGGCCCCTTCTCTCTTTTCCACAAGGTACGTACCTCTTTAATTAATTTCCTCTCTTGTTGTGAACATATATCCTTTAATATATCACATGCTTATTTATGATAAACCGCATGCACTTTGAACTCACTGAATCTAAATTTTAAATTTTCGGATATTTGAGAACTAAGACTTGAGCCGAAAGTCTATCGGAAACAGCTTTTTTACCTTCTCAAGGTAGAGATAAGGTTGCGTACACACTACACTCTCAAAATCCCATCTGTGAAATTACACTGGATCTTTTTTTTTTTTTTTTATATTTGAGAACAAATGGTGGGATGATTAGGCTAGTAAAGTCATAATTTCATTGTGGTAGTATGTACGTTAATTTATGATAAACCGCATGCACTGTAAATCCACCGACTTCAAAAATTTTGATTCACATATGAAAGAAAACATTTGTCTTGGAATTGACCTAATATTCATAAGCTATGGAGTCATTAAGTAAATATAAACAGTTCATAGTTACTCCCTTGATGTTGAGATGTTTTCAATAGTATGTTTGGTATGGATCACCTCTTTATTTCTCTTTCTCAGGTGTGAATGTGACTTCTTTTACAGGTCAGTTTTCTCAACCCTTAATTTGCTAGTTATTATTGTAAGCACCTTTTCTTGAATGATAGCTTTTCTTTTTCTCCATTGTCCCACAGATTGCATGGAACATGATCTGGGGGTGAGTGAGGAGGAAGAGAGAAACTTCACGGCGTCGTTGGCGGAGGAATTAAAGCAAATGGAGAATGAAACAACGGAAAATCAGAGAAGAGCAGACATGGCACTGCTGGAGGCAAAAAAGATGGTGTCTCAATATCAAAAGGAGGCAGACAAATGCACTTCAGGGATGGGAACTTGTGAAGAAGCTAGGGAAAAGGCTGAAATTGCTTTAGAAGCACAGAGACAAATCACTGCTATGTGGGAACTCAGAGCACGCCATCAAGGATGGAAACAAGACCTTGTTTAACTCTTATAGTGTCTAGATATAAAGCAAGTAAACTGGCATTTCACCAGTTTATTATTGATAATATTCATCCAAATGTATTAGTGCCTAGCTAATCAGGAAATTTCCCTAACAATAGAAGTCATTTTCTTAAAGCCAGTCAATGTTATATAATTATAGAGAAGCAAGAAACTGAAACAACTCCTTCTGTTCATGGTTTATCGGTTTGGATTCACTTCAGGAAATATATCTTTCTCTGTACGTTCATTCATTCTGTAGCAAAATCGGGTTGAAACTGTCGCAGTCTTTTGCGATTAAGATAAAACATTCATTTAGTTATCTACCTGTACTGGTAGAGAGCAGACAGCAGTAGGTACCGATTAAATAGTCGAAGTTTGGACAAACTAATCCGATCCCCATCATTAAAAAAATCAATAGTTATCGCGCCTGAATTTTAAATGATCGACAGCCCCAAGTGATGAGATCATGTCCCTTTTTGCTTGGAGCACTATAATCTAACCAATGAGAATAGTTCTCTCCGTTGAAATTGACAAAGAATGGACAAACTTTTATAAGCATCTTTGGGGAAGAAACTGGAAACAGAGGTATTTATTTCCTGTCTCAAGACAATCATACAAAAATCAACAACCCTTGCTTTTCCCATTCGAAATATAATGCACTATGCGCCGAATGATAAAGAAAGAAAAGAATTCCTAGCATATTAGGCAGATACCAAGTAATGTGATTTTATCTACAGTACTAAGTCTTACATGAACCATACTACAATCAGCTTCCACCTGTCTGTCTATTTCCTATATCAGTAAGCTAGAGGTGTTGTAACACACGTAGATTGTAATTCTATCAAGGGCAACTAATCCCCTCATCGAAGTATACTGTGAAGGTCAAAACTATTAAAAAGAGACTCATGAAATCACGGAGTTGAGTTCATTATGGAGGAGGCATCGAACTGAGAAACTACTCCTTCACTCAAGAGGCGCATTGCAGCCCCTCGTGAGAATTTCCTCGCAAACAAAAAACAGGGGACCAGAGTAGAATTATTCCGACACCACTCTGTTCTGTACTCAGTTTCATAGTAAACATTGTTGATATCCTGTAAAAATTGGAAGGGAGAAGTACAAAGCAATCAGTTCAGTAGGCAAGATATCTTGATGCAATAATAACTAGAGTTGAAACAAAAACAACTAGAGAAGTTGAATAAATGACTAACAAAAAATATTAAGAAAGAAAACAACTAAGGAAGTCAGAGAAGGGAAAAAAAGAAAAGCAAAGTTGAAGCAACAAAACCAACTGAGAAGGTCAAAGAAGAACCAAAAGGCAAAGCTGATAAAAGAAAACCAACGTGAAAGTCAACAAGGAAAACCAAAAAGGAAAGTTGAAGAAAGAGAAGTTGAAACTAATCCAAGATGAAAAATTAAACAGAGATGATCATAGCCAAATTCCTAAGCTAGAGAAAGCAGAATATTATACACATCCTATACTACCTTTATTCTCTTGATCTGTACAGGCCCAGCATCCGCATAGCTAAATGTAATAGGATGCCAACCCCTCTTCTCCATATTTGTCACAGATTCATTCCACTCTGTATAGGTTATCGTTCTACGTTCAAGTTCTCCTTCAAAACCATGCATCTGTAAAACAATTAAAAACTAGAACCTTTAGTCTCACAAGCAATCCACGAAGAGAATTCCTTGGAATATAAATTGAACACGACTACTTTGTGTGTGTTATCTACAAGAATGGAGTTCCAGGAAAAAAGATGTGTCGCAGAATCCTGAGAACACACAAGAAGAATAAAGATGGAAAGTAGCCTAGATAGATAAGTCTATTACTTACGGCCAATAATGTCTGCACATAGTGTTCATCTGGAATGCAGTTGTGCTGCTTTTGAAGTTTCTGCAAGGTTCATTGCAAGGTTAGAAGAAACAAATGTAACTTAAAAAATGAATGCTTGAGGAAACAAAAGAGTGAGCTAGCATGAATTTAAAAAATATAATGAATAGAGGCAAAGTCATAATCCCGTATGTCCGTACAAGATGTTTTCAGTGTGGCCTTTTTTTTTTTAATTTGCCATATATATATNATGTCGTTAAGCTGAGGCGACCGAGAAATCATTGGCATGGAGCCATGCCGGCGTGTGGTAGTGTTGGCGTAAGAGTATGGTGCTGCAAAGGAGCACGCGCAAGACAAGGCAACCACGGAAGTGGACAAAAGAGCCCGAAAAATGTGTACAGTGGATCTCCTTTCCTCACATATTAATAGAGCCAAATGCATCTACTTTGCAGAAGGCACACTAACTTACCATATTCTTTTTCCCCTTACTGGCTTCCAGCGATGGACGTCTCTGCAAGATTAAGATCCTGAAGCTATTAGTTATCAGATAAATGAAGCATATCGGATATTGATATATGGTGCATCAACGTAAATCCACATTAACAGTTCCATTTAGAGAATGTAACTGGCAGTAATTATAAACTAAGGAAGGCATTATTCATAAAGCATGTTGAATCATCATGGGTTTAGTAAAAATGGGCTTTTAGGCTGTTGAGGCTAAGCAATCTATATATATATATAATTGAGGGACATTGGCCAGGTGATGTGGCAGTCCTCATTGACCAGGAATTACATTTATCTAATTTCTCATTTTTTTAGTTTTCTCCTCTCATTTTAATAGGATACTCAATTATTAAATCTAAACAGTTAAGCTATTACAAATGAAAAGCACCGTTTCAGAATTTTCGGCAAACCAACCGTTACAAAGCAAAACTTTCACGTTTAAGTTCATCCAAACTATTAAGGTTTAATTTAATTGCACCTCTTTAATACTCCAAATAAAGAGGGATATATCAGTGTTTTAGAATCCTCCAGAAACAACTCAAACAAAAATTTACAAGTTCTCAATTTCAATGACGACAAGCAGGCCAGTGAAGATTAGAAACAGTCGTTTAAAATCTTCATGTTTTCAATTTCAAAGGCACCAAAGCAAACCAACATAGAAGGTAGGAAACTTCATCTTTGGTTAGTGATTGTTTTCATGTATGTCTAAATTAAATTTCTCTTACTCATCCCGGGCTTGTATTCGTTTTTCCATCTTGGTGTCACAATCGTCGGTTCAACTTTGGTTGATGTTTGACTTTATTAAATTCCTTTTTTTCATCCAGTGACCTATATTAGTTTTTACGTCTTTGCGTCACCATACTTGGAGATCGGTAGCATCATTATGTTTTGCCAAAGTAATGAACAATGAGCCCGAGTATGGAGATTTCGGGGAAACATTTTCCTCCTCTTCTATTCTTGCTTTCTATTTGGCTTATACGTAGTGTTTGTCCTGAGTGCGTTTTTTAGCAAAAATAGAATAGTGAAAAAAGAAAAATTGTGAAAATCACATTAGTCAAGAAAAGCAAAAACCAAGCAGAGATGCTTGCTCAACCTTTATATAGAAACTTTATTTTGTATCATCGCTGCACAAAGGAATAAGCAGAGTAGTTGAAAAGAAAGAAAGATAGTTGTTTTAAACTAGCAATCAAAAACTATCACCATTTTTCCCTGATCCTTTTCTGAGACAAAAAATCCAAAGAGTGACTAATTATAGAGATGTTGGAAGAATGGAAAGGGGTGGGTGGAATAGGATCCAAAGAGGCTTTATAGACAACAAACCATATAAATAAAGTAGGAAAACACATATGTTTTATATATTCTGGTCCTCAGTAGAAGTATTGTTGCTTGATATAAATCTTCCAATAACCAACCTATTCTCTCTTTTGTTTTTTTTTCCTCTGTATAATATTTGTGTTGTATTTTCGTCGCTTTGTTTCAATTCACATTCTAGCTCCATTAGCTAGAATTGCAAGCTAGAGAACACTTGTATAATGCTAAAGCATATCACATTTCACATAAATTCTTTTACTATATATCTCTTTAATGCTTCACTTTTTATAGATAATCGTGCTAAAGGGAGACAAAGGAACATAATGTCCCACCGTCACATAAAATCTCAAAAGCCCAAGCAATCTACCGCTGGTTTGATCCTCTATTTTTTTTGTTTTTTTTTTGTTGTTGTTGAATGTGTTAAGAATTAGCTCTCTTTTTTTCCACATTTTTCCTTTCATGTTAGTGGGAGGCCTGGAGCAATAAAACATGACATATTTTTGTTGAAGAGCTAGACCTCTAACACTCAAAATAATCCTATAAGTGGGATGAGAATACACATACTCATGTATATTTTAATGTTCTTCGGAAAGGCTGTGAGTGAGTATAGGTGAAGAAGTGGTAAGAACTTAACTCATGTTCAGTTTAAATGTAAAGGATTTCTTTTTTGCCTTCAAGACTTCAGCTCAGTTTGGATGTTAGGAATTTCCGTTACCTTCAAAAGGTCTATAATTTATTACGTGAAAATATAATATTCATGCATCTGCCAATATTTCAGCAAGTTTTGATTGCTATTAGCTATTGTTATCAATAAAAGAAAAACCAGCTAGCACTTCATATCTATTTTTTGCTAACTATGACTACCTTACTACCATCCTGATCCATCGTCACCCTTCTTCATGTTTCTTTATAGAAAAAAGGAGACATTGGAGCAATGAATCATGAGTTGATAAAGAATGCTATTGCCTTGATATCGATTGAACTGTTAATGCAGTTTTACCAGTTGTAGTAGGTTGTTTATCCATTATCATAGTTCATGGTAAGATTATGAATAAATAATTGGTTAGTAAAGATTGACTTTCTTTTATATGATACTATTATTTAATCTTATTTTAAATTCCTTTAAGATCGCGCAAAGCGCGAGCTAATTTACTAGTGCTTTTTATAACCCTGAAGCACCAATGCTTTATTAAGCATGTATACCTTAAACCTTATAGCACTAATCACTACGATTGCAAATTTTGCAGCATTTATTGACTAAAATATACTTGAAGATTAAAGAGGGAAGAGCATGCGATATGAACCTTGCAGAACATCTTGAAGACTCGAAGGACAGCATCATCATCTGCAACCACTTCCGCGTGCTTCCTGATTAAAGTGATCCACTGGACTAAAATGTCAAGTCAAAACTCATAAAAGCATATAGTAATGAATCATACTATCATGTCACCACAAAGCAGACAGCAGATTGTATTGATTTGAGATAATATAATTTTATGAAAACACCCGAGCTTCGAAAATTTAAGACTAGATTGGTTATAGGTACAAGAACAACTTTAACTTTAAAAGGAGAAAGAACTGCTGGATGAAACTAAAGATGCTTTTTTTTATTTATCAGAATCTAAAGATGACTTTTAAAGAGTAACAATAACTTGGGCGCCATAAATATCAGCAAAAGAATATTTCTTCTCATTGAGATTTGAGAACGACCTTTACAATTAATAGGTGATTAAAACATTTTATCAGGCAAAAACCAATCAATGCCTCTCACCTTTTTTTTTTGGATAAGGTAATCAATCCCCCTCACATTGATAGACAGTCATGCAATAAGTTAAGGAATTCAAGCCTTGATCTAACAAGAAGAAATTTTATGGGGTGTATGTTCATGCAGAGGCTAACTAATTCTTTTATCCACAGATGTAAGTTCAACAATGACCATCAAGCTGGCGGGTATTCCCTTCTGAGAAAAATCTTTAAACTTTTAATAGTTAAGTATATAGGTTGACATATTTCAAATTTATAGGTGCTTTTAGTTGAGCTTAAATGGAGAAGTCAGGATTCAAATAGCTAATCCCACTTGTTTGGGACGAAAGCATAATTGTTGTTGTCGTTTGTATCTGCATAAGTTTTTTGCAGACCTCTTTGATTCCTGATTCTTTTCACTTCTGCACATCCTTTTCCATTTTGTAGGAGTCGGTAAGTGCTTCTCGTCTTTGCTTCTTCTTTTTTTTAATAAGTATTAAGGAATTTTATTAGAAAAGGATCAGGACTAAGCTAGTGCAACAAAACAAAGTTACAAGTTGTGCAATTCCGTAATCATATCTAACAAGGCATCTATGTCCTGTACAAAGGCCAAGTTGCACCAAAAAGCTAATAAAGAAAACGCTCTAAGCTTTAGGCTAAGAATGTTTCTCTTGTTGCCTTCAAGAGGAGAACCAAGTTGCCATACCCAGCTTGTCTACACGCCTATACTCTATTTTTTTTTGAAAAAGGTAACAATTATATTCTTCAGCACCCATAAAACGGGGCTGGTATCTAATTTACAAGTACAGCCCCTGAAAATCTTACAGAGAATCAAAAAGGTCTAGTAGTGATTCTACATCACCTATCAATTGTTCTTTACACCAAAAGTGAAAAAGAGAAATACAAGAACTCTTGATTTTCTGTGTTGAACTGCTCTTGCCTTCAAAACATCTTGCATTCCTCTCCTTCCAAACTGTCCACCATATGCAAGCTGGAACAATCTTCCACCATTCCTTGTGACAGGTTCTTCCCCTAATACTGTTCCAGCTGCATATCAGGCCAATGGTGTCTTTGGGCATTACCCAAACAATACCAGCTAGTGCTATAAAGAGCTGCCAAAGTTGTCTAGTAATAACACAATGTAAGAAAAGATGCTCATTGGTTTCTTCTTCCTGTTGACATAGAAAGCATGTAGAGCTGGTCTGAATACCTCTTCTTTGAAGAATTTCTAGAGTGAGGCAGGCTTTTCTTACCACTAACCATGAAAAGCAAATAACTTTGAATGGTGCTTTGATCTTCCAAATCTTTTTCCAAGGCCAAGGATAGTTGGGGTGTCCTCTGGATGATAGATAGTTGTATGCTGCCTTGACTGTAAATTTAGAGCCCTTGCCTCCTTTCCATGTAAGAGAATCCTCCGCCTCACTTAATCCTGCAAAACCTTCTAGCATTTTGAGAATCTCAGTAGCTCTAGTGACTTCCCAGTCATTGAGAAGCCTTCTGAAAATTAGGTTCCAGCCCTGGGAGCTCCAAGTTTCTTCTACTGTGGCATTAGGTGAAGTGGTGAGATTGAACAGATCAGGAAAAAGATCTTTCAATGCTCCATCAATCCAATCATCATGCCAAAATGATACCATCCTCCCATTTCCTATCCTAAAACCTGTGTTTGTTGTAAGCTCCTCCCATAGATTCCTGATGGCTTTCCAATTGCCAACTCCATAAGGAGTTCTCACTGGTTTGGTGCTCCAGTGTCCTGATTGCTCATACCTGCAGTTGGCAACTTGTCTCTATAAGGCTTGCTTCTCAGTGTTGAATCTCCATAACTATTTCATTAAGAGACTCTTGTTATGCAAACTTAAGTTTCTAATGCCTAGACCGCCAACTCTCTTGCTGGAGATGAGAGTGTTCCGGTTAACAAGATGGGAGCCTTTGGACTCCCTGTTGCCTTCCCAAATAAAGTTCCTTCTCAGTTGGTCAATTCTTCTCCTTACTTTGGCTGGGATAGAAAATAAGGACATGATGTAGGTGGGTAGGGAGTCCAGGACAGAGCTCACTAAAATGATCCTTCCCCCTAGGGATAAGTATTGTGCTTTCCACCTTGTAAGTCTCTTTTCACATTAATCAAGTACCCCTTCCCATATATCTGCAGCTTTGTTCTTGGAACCCAAAGATAATCCCAAATACTTAGTTGGTAAATTTCCTACTTCACAACCCAAAATGCCAGCTAGAATTGGACTGTTTGGAACTACATTAATAGGCACCAACATGCTCTTACTCCAGTTAACATGAAGACCTGAGATACCTTCAAAGACTGTGAGAAGCAGCCTCAAATGCATTAGCTGGGCAGGTTCAGCATCACAAAGAACCAGAGCATCATCTGCATACAAAAGATGCGAAATCTTCATGCTATTAATTATGTTCTGTACTTCAAATCCCTTCAAGCAACCACTGATAGTAGAGGCTCTCATCATGCTACTCAGCCCTTCCATGGCTAAAATAAAGAGGAAAGGAGATAGAGGGTCTCCTTGCCTTAAACCCCTCATTGAAGAGAAGAAGCTTTCAGGAAATCCATTAATCAAGACAGAATACTTCACTGTACTGATACAAAAAAAGATCCATTTAAGCCATTTATTCCCAAAACCCATAACTTTCAAAATATTGATCAGGTACCTCCAATTAACATGATCAAATGCCTTTTCGATATCTAGTTTGCAAATAATCACTGGTTTCTTCTCCTTCTGTATACTATCGACACATTCATTAGCTATGAGAGCAGCATCCATAATCTGTCTTCCCTTGATAAAAGCCACCTGATGCTTGTTCACAATTTTATCTATCACATTCTTAAGTCTTTCTGCTAGAGTCTTGGAAATAATCTTGTAGATGCCCCCAATCAGACTGGTCTGAAGTCTCTTAATTCCTTAGCTCCACTCTTCTTGGGTATAAGCGCCACGTAGGTGGCATTTAAACTCTTCTCAAAAATTCCCAGAGTGTGAAAATTGGCCATAGTTTGTAGGATGTCAACCTTCAGAAAATCCCGGCACGCAATGAAAAACCTCATCGAAAAACCATCAGGACCTGGCGCTTTGTCTATAGCACATAGCTTTAAACTATGGAGAACTTCTTGTTCCTCAAAAGGTCTCTCCAGCCAACTTTGCTCCTCATCTGTAATTGAAGCAAAGTTCTGAAGAGTAAAGTTAGGCATCCATGCTTCTGTCTCAGAGTATAGTTGTTTACAAAATGAGATGATTTCTCCGTTAATTTCTACTGGTTCAGTGATTTCAATCACATTAATCTCCAACTTGTCTATGGTGTTGAATCTCCTATGTGCATTAGCCATCTTGTGAAAGAATTTGGTGTTCTTATCCCCCTGCTTTAACCATAGAATTCTAGATTTTTGCCTCCAGGAGGATTCTTCATATTTGGATATTTCCTCAAAATCCAAAGTAATATTGGCTTTTTGTATCAATTCATCATCAGTGAGATTTCTTTGTTCCTGCAAAACATCAAGAATGGTTAGTTGGTTCAAAAGCTCTGTCTTCCTCTTTGCTAGATCCCCAAAGTTAGTAGTATTCCACTCCTTTAGTTTAGCTTTCAGGAGTTTTAGCTTTGTTGCTAAAATAAAGTCTGGGTGTCCTTGTACTGCAAAAGATAGCCACCAAGCTTTAACCAGATCTTTGAAGCCAACCTCCAACCACCAATTTGCAAATTTAAAGTATGATGGTTTCCTTTGTTCCCAATCACCACAAGTTAGCTTAATAGGACAATGATCAGAAGTGATTCTTGGCAAAGTAGACTATCTAATATTTCTAAAGTGTTCATCCCATTCAATGGAAAAAAGAAATCTATCAATTCTCGAAGCAATTACCTGATTGTTCCCTTTGTTCAAAGTGAAAGAACCCCCAAAAAGTGGTGGATCTACTAACTGTAGATCATTGATTGCGTCAGAGAAATCTCTCATAGCTCTGGTGAGACGATGATCGTTGCTTCTTTCATTTGAGTGTCGGGTTGTGTTGAAATCCCCACAGACCACCCATGGCCCATTACAAAGTCCTCTTGAGGCTGCCAACTCCCACCATAAGTCTTGCCTCTCAATTCTGGAATTTGAGGCATATACCCCTGTGATGAACCATGAGAAATCTTGGCCTATTGCAGTCAATCTACAAGAGATACTCTGACTTCCAGAAATAATCAACTGCCCTTCTAATATCCTTTTATCCCACATGATAAGAATTCCCCCACTGGTACCAATGGCTTCAAGATTTACAAAATCCACCCATCTACTCCCCCATAAATGTCTGGCAACACGAGATATATCACCTTGTATCTTTGTTTCTTGAAGAACTACTACATCACATCTCCATTCATTAAGAGCAGTTTTAATAAGTCCCTTTGTCTCCCCATCATTCAATCCCCACACGTTCCATGATAGTATGTCGATCTTCATTAATCAACTTTGAGGGTGCCTCTCCCCCTGACCCTAGATTGTCCATCTTTATATTTAATGCCTGATTTTAACCTCTCTAATTGCTTCTGACCTTTTGGTTTTATTGCAGTGTTGCTTTGGGTAGTGATATCTTCCATCTTCTTATGCCTTACTGTCAATCTTCATGAATAAAGACATGGCATCCCCTTCACACCCTTCAAAATCAACCCCAAATTGCTTACTTAGTTTGAGAACACTCATATGCACCCACAGTGAAGCTTCTTCTTCCGCCCTTTGAATTTGCATGTCAATTGGAATAGCTTCTTCATCAATACATGCATATGGATCCCCAAAAATAACCAATTGTTTGCTACCATCATCTGCATGCAATGAATCCCATTCTTTGATGCGTTGACCTCCCTGGACTGAGTGCAAGATTAGAGGAACCTGAGCCAAGTCCTCTTCGATGCCCAGAGTAGAGACGTTAGAAGGAGAAGAAGAATTGAGTTCCAAAAGCATAGGATCATAATAGTCTTCCTTCATCTCTTTCGTCTGCTCATTCGAAGACAGAAACATCGCTGCTTCCAAAGATGGCAATTGAGATTCAGAAATTTGCCTAATGTCTAAATTAATAATAGGCCCATTAGAGTCTTTAGAAGTTGGGCCATTAGAATCCTCATCAGCTGGGCCTTTAGAGATAGCCACATGTGGTCCCTCAAATTCTTGGATCTGCATCTGAAATAAAGGGTCAAAAGAATTGGGACCCACACTAATTAATTCCTCAACTTGGGTTGTTAGGGTTGGGTCTTTGCACCTACAATCAGATGATGGATCTGTCAAAATTGGGCCCACATGAATTAATTGTTTGTGGTCCGGAACTTCTTTTTGTTTAAAGAATTCAGCATCCACCTCACGTGACTCAGGCACATGTGTAAGTTTTTTAAAAATCTCCCCTTCATTCGATGTGCCCACGTGACCTAGGTACTGCTGCGCCGAATAAGTCCCATCTTCAAGGCTACCCTTATTAACCAATAGATCTTCTCTCCTCCCATCTACACTGGCAATCGGAGCAGCCATCACCGTCGCCGGAACTTCACACCATATAGGAATTTTGTATAAATACCCATCGTTGTCTACCTGTATATATCTCGGAACCTTACTTCCATCTCCCTTCACTTTGATTCTAGCCCAGTGTAAATGGTTTTTTAATGTTGTCTCCTCCTCCGTTTCAATCCAACCGCCACATTGATCACCTATTGCTTTGAAAACTTTCTGTGACCAGAGGTTAATGGGAAGACCCAGGAGCCTAATTCAAACCCAATTACGCTCCACTTCTTCAGGCCAACAACCAGTAGTAGGTTTCCACCATTCAAGGATCACTTTGGTCTTCTTCCAATGTCATTCACCTTTAAGAACATTTTCGGCATCCTTCGTTGAAGGTAGTTCAAACAAGAACTGAGAATCGTTCATCTCGTACACATTCACACCAAAGGTAGATTTCCATGTGTTACAGGCCCATCTCCTGATATCATTTAGCGTTGGAGTCTCCTTCGCAGGAGTCATAACTTTTCCAACTATGCACCTTCTCAGCACATCTTTATCCGATAATTCTAAACCCCCAGGGATGGTGACTTTGGAATTGTTGGATTTGATCGGAGAAGATTTCGTCCCTTCTGATGGCCATCTACTGGTTCTGATTACTTCGTTGTAGGACGACTCCCACTGTGGATTTCTGACAATAGGGACATTCTTCTCTTCTTCTGGGACATTTATGAACCTTTGTATCTTTTGAGCTATTATTCCCCACCCTGCCTTTAATGTAACTTCTGGTGTAATAATTACAGACCTGCTCTGCCCCTGTACAGCAATGAAACTGATGTACCTTCCATGTTCATTGTATTTAAGAGTGCAATAAAATTCTACATAGTGATCTTTCATATTCCACCTCCTTGTTGCCCTGCCATGCTCCTTTGAGGCCACATTAAATACCTCTACGACCCACTTCATGACTTTGAGGCTTGAGGCTTACAGTTGCTTTCCTCATCAGGTTCACGTTCAACCCAGTCGAACCAAACTTCAGACCTAGAACAATTTTTGGTAATGTCAAAGGATTTAAAACCAGCATGATAATAAATCCTGTCACTATCCATATTAATAGAATAACACGATTGGGGTTTAAACAATAATCACAGTAGGTGAGGGGGTGAATTCCGGTGGAGAATCACACCAGAAAAGGTTATTCTTCAGTCCTAGAAAGTAGGAAAGAGAAGTGTCTCGGTAAAGGTGCCTGGGAGCATTTTCAAAATTTCTCCTGATGGAAAATATAACTTTATTGGATGCTATGCAGCTGAAGTGGAACTGATTAAGTCGGCTTGCGAACATAATTTGGAGAAAAACTCAGCAGCTGAAGTGGAACTGATTTCTGTGCTTTGAATGCTCTCAATCAGACAACGAAGCTCATTAAATTGACTTTCTTCTTCAGCATGCTCTTGGAAAAAGGAGAGTCCTCCATCTACAGCAGGATATATGACCTTGTCCTCGGCAACACTGCCATAAGGTAAATCTAAAGGTTAAAGTTTCAGTTTGAAACAGGAACATAAAGCCCGCTCTTGATGTTGTGGATGTGAATTCTTATGTCAGCAACAGTAATTGCCCACATTACAGTTTCTAACGCCTACACTCTATTATATGCCTAGAATTTTGTTTTTCGGGAAATAAATGGACAAGTTTACTCCACGAGCGCACCTAAATAGGTTAATGAATTTCACAGTTAAGGTTGGCGCAATAATGATGTTCTTATACAACAATTTGAGGTGGTCCTATCAGTATATGTAAATCCCCATTTAACTAAGATGGAAGGGCAATTACCTGTGACCCTTTCCGCCATTTGCTCATTGGTATATAGGGTGACATCTTTGGGTTGTAGCGGGCTTCCTTTTTATCAAGAAAACTGGAAGACAAGTAGAACCTCATTCATTCACAGTTAACGCTAATAATATGAGAATGTGAAATGATTCATCGGTAATCCAACCAGATCCTCAAATCCTGAACGCAATTAAGGGGGTGATTCACTGCAGAAGGAAAGAAAAGAAAAAGAAAAAACTATATCCAATCTACCTGTCAACAAAGCTCCTTGGAGAAGCCATCAAGTAGTTGTATATGTAGCTAAAGTTGTACAGTGGAACACAGCTGCAATATCAACCATTACACAATTAGAAAGGAATCTTAACAACAGGGCACAACCATAACTCAATAATTGGGTGAAACAAACAGAAGGAAAATGCATGGATAAAAAACTGAAAGACACTACATCTTGACATATGCTCTCTCGTGATTCATTAAGGAGAAGCCGAGAAGATAGGTTGCATAGACACTAGTCTCAAGTGCAATTGCATGCTGGACGATTTGCCCTACGTGTCTTGTTCTTATCCAATCATATCCATGTCTAATCAACATGCTAATGGATAAGCATCTGTGCTACGCATGTCTAGATAAGTTGTATAACTGTTTCTTATTCAATAGGAACCCAAATTCGTATAGCTCTACTGGAGTCTTGATATCTAACACAAGTATTAATATTGCCTCCAATGCAATTCAGATGACCCGGTTTAGAGTAGTGAGTTAACAAAACAGAAGTATGAATAGGTAAATGAGTTTGAGATGACCAATAAAAGAATTCCTCTTAGTTAGATATATACTCAAAAGGAATGCATGTATAGAGATTGATCGTCAAAAGAAACTTCAAAATAATATGAAGGATGTTTAGAAAGATAGTAGACTTTTCCATTTCAGGGAAAGAATCAAGTAAATTGGGGTGCACGAGAAAAGGGAAGTATAAAAAACCAGTTGGAGTGCAGATGGTAACAATAACTGAAGCAATTGCTGATCATGTCATGCATCAATAGCCGCACATGCATGCACACTAAGAAGCCACCTACACAGACTTATCTGAGAGATGTCATACATCCAGTGTTTGTTAAGTAAAAAAAAGTACCTGTCCGACAGGAGAACGAATCTTTGATTAGCTGGATCATCAAGCGCTGCCCCAAGTAATAATTTCTCGGCTTGGATCATACTTGATTCTCCCCAGGCTACCTGCAGGTCAATCTTAATATCAATCTGGTAAAGATATGAAAGTGATAGAAAGAGCAAAGGGGAGTGAATTAATAATACTACACTGTTAGATGAGAAATTATCTGATACAGGAAACATCACATCAAAGTTTAAAATTTTAAAAGGCAAATGATATTGAATTTTTAAGAGTCAAGAAAGTTGTACAAAATACAAACAGAATATGGGAATAATGTCAAACAATTTGGTACGTCGAAAAAGAGAAAAAGTGTCATAAAAATAGGGGTGGATGGATAACCAGAAACCAAAAATAGTTTCTAGGTTGGTGCAAGAATAATCTAAAAGAACTTAAGGTTTTAAATCTAAAAAACCAACATATTAGAAGAATTAGTGAACCTGCATGAAAAAGCTCATGTCACTAAGAAATGAAATCACTTCAATTACAAGAAAATACTAAAAAAGAACACAATGAAGATATAAATTTCTTTTTCTATTACAAACGTAGCAACAGAGTTAGCAAGTAACACCGCGTACCTTGGTGCTATTAGTCAATTGGCGGTTATAGAAGAAAGGCGATCTTGTAGTAGACTCATCAAACACAAAACCTGGCTCCGAATGTATATATATCGAGAAATTACCAGTCTCTGCATTCTGCATACACCAAAGAGATTATGGAAAAATTGAAAAAAACTTGATTCAGATTCTGAAACAGCCATTACGCACTAGTAAATTAAAAAATAACTTGAAAAATCATCTGACCTCGAAGAAACTTCCCCAAAGGAAATCGAGAGGCAAATTGCGACGGACTAGAAAGAGGAAAGCAACTTTAGGATTGCCGCTATAATCAACAGCTCGAGATCTACGAGAAATTGAAGAAGTAGAAATAGAAGAAGAAAGTTCCGAATCGGAAAGAGAGTAGCTTTGGAGCTTCAAAAAAGCTAGCACGCAAAGAGTAAGAGAAACTATAACCACAAGTTTCCACCACAACCACAACACGTTTCGCACTGATATTCCGGCGGTCGCCGCCGGCGAATTCTTCTTCATAGGTTTGAATACTCTTTCCTCCTCTTCTTCCTTCTCCTCCTGAAATTGAAACAATTCAAATTTGCATCAGAATCGCACTTTCTCTAGCTGTGTGTGTATAAATACGTATATTTATGTGCGTGTACAACTGTACATTGAAGAGGTGGCGGTTGAAGGGAGAGACGACACCAATTGCTCTTTCCTTCTTTCTTTTTTCACAACCAAATTACAAGTATCTTGCTTCCCGTGCTTTGCCTTTTTGTTTTCTTCCTTTGTTGCACAGCTGTTCAGAAACCAAAAAAGGGGGAGATACTGACGACGTCGTTCCTCGCACCTTCTAACTTTCATTTCATAAATACAAGAAGAATATGGTCCTTGGCCTACAATTCTCCCATCTGTCTTATGTCCCACAGAATTGTGATTTCGTGTTCAAATGATATGTTTAATGTGCTCTAGATGATTAAAAACTGGGGAAAAATAACATTGAGCTAATATCACAATCAAACAAAATTCCTTAACATAATACTTAAAAGATTTCTAATTAAACTACTCTTAGGTTCACTTTCGAGAAGCATATATAGGTGGAGTTATTTCCAAACAATCGTAATTTGGAAATCTTTTATAGTTAGACAATATCAATTTTCTGACTATTTAATTCTTTTTAATCGGTAATTATGTATCATAAAATTATAATTTAGGACTTTTATATTTCAAGAATTAAATGTTGTAAGAAGGTGCATAACAATGGTATAAAAGGTATCCTTTTTTATTCGTCAACACTACTATAATTGAAACGTTTATAAATCCACAAACAACACTGTATAGAAAATGGTAAAGATAATGTATTCCATATGCATAAAAGGAATGAAACCACTATTGTTTGGTGGCTATTAACTTTCTATATGTCACGACCCAAAATTTCACCACAAGTACCGTAATGGCACTTAGTATCTAAAAATAAGTAAGCCGATTAAAATTACAATTCAAGCCAAAAAAAATTTACCTCCCAAGACTGGTAATACTGAATCACGAACTCTAACTGAATACATGAAATGATCTCAAGGATCAAATACTCAATACTGTTTGATTAATAATTAACAGTACAATAAAATGGAAAGACTCCAAGGGACTGCGACGACCAAGCAGCTCTACCTTGAATCATTGCGATCACATATTAATTTTGTCTGAGCCTGATATCTTCAATACCTGACTCTGCACAAAAATGTGAAGAAGTTTAGTATGAGTACACCACAATCGATACCCAGTAAGTATCAAGACTAACCTCAGTGGAGTAGTGACGAGGTACAGTCAAGACACTCACTAGTCTTATAACATGTGCAATATAGTATACAAAAATAATAGGAAACAAATAACAATAATGGCAACAATAATCAACTAGTGATATACACAACAGGGCAACAAGAACAGCATTTACATTGCTCAACAAATGATGAATACAAGTACAACCAATTAATCAAGCCCTTCAAATACACATCTTTCGCCTATATGTTTTTCAAATAATAATCTTCAGGATATAATACTTTCCAATAAATATATTTCGAATATACTCCCTTCAAATAAATATCTTTCAAATATAATTCTTTCAAATATAATTCCTTCAAATAAATATCTTTCAAATATAATTCTTTCAAATAAATATCTTTCGAATAAAAGTCACCTTCTGACACCTCATTTCAAAATCATAAAATACGAGTCTCAACCCACTTTCATATTTCTATTGTATCTCGTGCCAATTTCCTTATCACAACCTCATGGACAACTCACTTGCCAATATCATCATCATTTACTCACGGCGACTCGTGCCCACATTTCATATCACAACTGCACGGACAATTCACGTGTCAATATCATCATTTTGTTCACTCACGGCATCTCGTGCCCACATTTTATTTCATAATCCGCCTGACAATAGCCACAGGCTCCCAATTTCAGCATAGATCAGACTATTATCAATTTACCAACAACAAGACAAATTACGCAAGATATAAAAATAAACATAAGGAAAATCACAACATCACATGAAAATTACCAACGCAATACCCCACATCATCACATAAAAATTATCAACACAATAACTCCACATCATCACGTATCATCCCTGACAATAGTCACTTTTATCTCTCATATAGCCACCATTATCACTCCTATAATAGCCTCCCTTATCCCCCACCCTTACAATGTCAATAGCCACCCTTATCGCTATTCTAGCCACCCTTATCGCTCCGTAAAATAGCCACCCTTGTACCCACATAATATCAATAGTGAAATGCCACCCTTGTATCCTCATAATAATAATTCAAATCACACAACAATTTACACGGAATATTATCACGATAACAAAACACAATCAATTCCTATCACAATTTGCCAAATGATCACAACCAGTTCTAATGATATAGTAAAATCAATAAATTTCTCAAAAATAGCCTAAGGCTCCACGCAACGTATATAAAACGTCAAAACAATCAACATAGATGGAAAATACTCAGTATAGGGCAACGCCTTCATTAATCTAATTTCTTGATAAATATATTAATACCTCAATTTAAACTTATTTAATTAATTATTTGCATATGAAAAAATTCATAATATAATTATTTCCAGGAATTATCAAATCCACAAACACACGAAATTCACATAAAATTTCAAGTCGCAATCACACCAATTTATCATATAAATACAAACTCAACAAACAAAGATTGAGGTATGACAAATCACGGATTTACTAAGTTTTCACAATTTTTTAATTTAATACATAAGGGCGTCTATGAATTTTGACCGATATAATTTGCACATATAAACCAAGTACGTACTCGCCACCTCGCGTATATGATTTTCAATTACACAATTTCCACATAAGACTCAATGTCTAAGGGGTAATTCCCTCAATCAAGGTTAAGCAAGATACTTACCTCAAAACCGCGTAATTTCTTACTCTACTATGCCCTTACCTCGTGAATTGGTCTCCAAACGTCCCGAATCCCGATATTTTCCTTGAAAATCTCTCAAAAGTCGCCTCTCCCCAAGCTCCAATTTGTCAAAAATGGAAAATGGGGCGAAACCCCCGTTTTATAACTTAAAGTTTCTTTCCAGGTGCTGCCCTCGATTTCCAGCCTCGATTTTTCTGACCTCGATTTTCCAACCTCGATTTTTTTTCAGCCTCGATTTCCAGCAGAAAAATTCCAGCAGCTGTTTAAGTCCAAATTTTGATCCGTTAACCATCTGAAACTCACCCGAGACCCTCGGGACCTCAACCAAATACACCAACAAGTCCTAAAATATCACATGAACTTAGTTGAAATCTCAAATCACATAAAACAACGCTAAAACCACGAATCATACCCCAATTCAAGCTTAAGGAATTTAAGAATTTCTCACTTCTACATTCGATGCCGAAGCCTATCAAATCAATTTCGATTGACCTCAAATTTTGCACACAAGTCATAAATGACATAACGGAGCTATAAAAATTTTCAGAGTTGAATTTTGACTCCGATATCAAAAAGCCAACTCCCCGGTCAAACTTCCAAGTTTAAATTCCTATTTTAGTCATTTCAAGCCTAATTTAACTACAGACTTCCAAATAAAATTTCGAAAATGCTCCTAAGTCCAAAATCACCATACGGAGCTGTTGGAATCATCAAAATTCTATTCCTGGGTCGTTTACTCAAAAGTCAAACTCCGATCAACTCTTTTCATTTAAGCTTCAAAAATGAGAATTGTTCTTTCAATTTAATCCTGTATCATCCGAAAACCAAACTCGACCATACACGCAAGTCATAATACACATTACAAAACTGCTCGGGATCTTAAGTCACTGAACGGAACGTAGATTCTCAAAATGACAAGTCGGGTCGTTACACTATAGCTACCATATACATAATTACTTCCTATAGTTACTATTCAGTTGTTACGGTTGTGTATTCACATGTATTCACGCTAATGTATTCATGAATACAGCAGCAAAAAACGCCTAAAATCAGGGCGGTCCAACTGTACGCGCATGTATTCACATGTATTTGCGCCATGTATTCATGAATACAACAGTAAAAAGTGCCTAAAATCAGGGCAGTCCACGCGCATGTATTCACATGTATTCGCGCCATGTATTCAGCAAAAAGTGCCTAAAATCAGAGCAGTCCACCTGTACGCGCATGTATTTACATGTATTCGCGTTGCTCAATTCATGAATACAATTGTACGCGCATGTATTCACATGTATTCGCGCTATGTATTCATGAATACAGTAACGACAATTCCTTAAAAATAGGTATGTCCAGCTGTCTAAGAGAGAAGAAAAATATAAATAGTGTATTTCATGCCTTATATTATGCCTCAATGGTAGTATATACCATAAAATATTTATTTTGCTATAAATATAAAATGTAGCTATAAAAAATAATATTTTAAAATAATTTTGATTTATAATAAATAGGGTGTACGGAGGTAAAATTTCCTTTAAAAATCCTGAATCAGAAATATCAAATTGAAGATATTCCAAACAGTAAGCATATAAGACTAGGTACTTTCCCCTTCATAGAATTAGGAGAAATTCTGAAATCTGTCAAGCGTTGAATGGATGCACATGCACAAACACTAACAAATATATAAAATTAGATGAGTTTTGGCACCGACCATTGAAGTAAACGAGACGATGCCATTATTTAAAATGGGGGAAATTGAGACGTGAGAACATGAAGGCTTCTTCCCTTGTAGCTAAAGTTTGTTGTTACCCTTTTCTGTTTGAAACATATTACCTAATTTCCCAAGGCCACTTAAGATCACATAGGACAACACCTTATCAGTCTTTTAAATGTCTCCATTAATTTAAACTCCACTAATTGGAACAAATAAAGGGGATTTAGAAGAAAGTTAATAATGCTTATTGTTTTTTTTTCTGAAACATCAAATAATTAAACAATTTTAGTTTGCCATACTTGGGCATAAAGGGTATTTTTAAAGACTTTATTAGACTATAAATGAATAATTCATCTGCTATGGAATGCTATATCTGCCATTCCCAGGTAGAAGTGAAAATAGTGGGCGCAGGGGTACAAAGCCACTTGAAAACATTGGAGATCAACTAACAGTCCTTGCAAAATGAAACAATGTTCATTGAAGTTGTGACTTGTGATATTTCTGTGAAGAAATCTTCATATATAAATACAAGAACAGCTTATTTGAGTACAATGGGTACATATAACGAACATATGTTACACACAACTATTAGATTAACCAATGTTGCGTACCCTTCCCTGTCTCTTCTACTATACAACAAAGCCTATTCCACTTCCACTGCTCGCAAGCTTATTGTTCTCTTAACAATATTGTACAACA